GTGCACCACAAGGGGCCTCCCCAGTTCGACCAAGGCAGGCTCCCTGCGTCAGGATTCACTTTTTTGACTTTGAAGCGCTGCTATCCGAGTTTGAGTGGCCAGGACATATCTTGCATGGCATTAAGGTTACTCGCTTGCGCACAAACATCGCTTCTCTGTTAAAAATGAAAAAACAACACGGCAAACGCCACTACGTCAAATGCCCGGTCGTCGCAGCATTTCAAGCGACCGACGATGTTGAGCGAAAGAGCAGCCATGCAAAGTGCGGAAATACGAGAAGCTGTAGAGCGGTGAGAGTTTGTCGGTTTGGCAGGGAACATTGGTTTCAATCAGCAAATCATGTTAAACAAGAAAAAACCAAATGAAGATGTAATAAAATATTACATGGATGGCTTCGCATTAGATCATTTGAGTCATGTAATAAAACATCATTCAGATCTGATGATAGACGGTGATCAAGTTTATATACTCACTCTAAAATCACTTTCAAAGCCAGTGGAGACTGAGGAACACACAAAAAACTAGTCAACTAATAGTCTACCAGAGAAAGAATAAAAGCTGGAGAAGAGAATAGCCACTGATATTCGGTATATTGATGGTATAGTCAATGTAGATTTTTTGTTTGATTGTAATTTTAGTTGTGAATGTATTTCATCTTCATGATCTTGAAAACAACAACAAAAACTTTCATAATTTACTGATCGTAAAGTTAAACCAGAGTGCGTCTTTAAATAAACAAGAGCAACAAAAGAGTCGGAAAATTCATTATTCCAGTGAAAATGATGATAATGTCGACAGACCAAGATTTTCTTTCGTAAATATATATGGATCTAATAAAAGCGGCGACAACATGAATGAAAATATTGAATATGACTTACGTAACAATAATGATTTTGACGAGAAACAATCAAGAAAATTTTGTAAAGTGTGTCAAAAACTTGCTAAAGAAGCACATGCTAAAAGCCAGAAAAAAGTGATAATAATAACAGTGGTAACAGTAATAGTGATACAACAGTTTCTATTGGACGTTCTTTAGCGCAACAGCACAATACTTGACCCATCGTAAATTATTCTCTTACCACTGTTTTTTGTTGTTGTTGTTGCATCAAATCAAAATGACAGTGTTTCCTTCAAAAACTACGTTAAACTGGTTGTACGAAGAGATGCATGAGTGGCAACGTACGTTCATTGCCCTGGTTCCACCAGTGTGAAAACACGCATGCTTTGGCCAGCTGGAAAGCTGGGCTGTCGTTGACAAGCTAGATTTTTCTGCTTCATCGACGCAGCGTGTGAGAAGTCTCCAAGCAAACAAACTGCAGCTAGAAAGGGGCGGTCCTGTATTGTAATCTTTGAGGCAGAACTGCGTGGATTGTGTGCTATGTGAAAAAGAATGGGGCCCGTGATGTTGTGATACGTGGGGTTACAACATCCTCGTAGGTTCCCGACTAGCTAAGTTGTTCTTGACGATCGAAGACCTCCCCGTAGCTTTACGTTGTTCACCTGTGTCCCGAAGCCGTCGAGCCTTGCAGATGAGCCTCCAAAGGTATTCATGAGCGACTTTTCCCACGAAAGACGCGGCTCGTTCTAGGGGAATGCAAGGATGCCATCACAGAAATTTTTCAGTACTTGGTAGTAAATTTGCAGAAAGGCGGTTAAAACGGGGGTGGTGCGTTGTAGCTAATGCTGAGCTTGGTGTGCTCTGCCTGCCGTGGGCTGTGCATGTAGGCTGTGCGAGTTCGGCATGCCGCTGTGTTGCTTGCGTGGTGCGTGCGAGCAGAGGTGATGATGATAGCACATTCGTGGATTGTTATCCCACAGTCACCAATGGATCTAAAAAACATGAATGAGCAAGATTCGTGAGCTGTGCTTCCCAAACTTACCCTTGATCGTACGACATGCCAGACATGTCGACATCCTCTCATGATCTGTTGAGCTTGAACATGGAAATGGCCGGGATTTCGGAGAATGCTTTTTGCTTCCTTTGGTTCAAACTGTTTAGGGGATTTTCATTGTTAACATTCGGACTCTTTGGGCGGGCGGTGTGGGGGTTTTGATTCGGAGTTTCGTAGTGCAGACACACAGCCGTCAGTGTAAGCAGCTTGGAGACACTGTATTCGGAGTCGTGTTGAAGAAGTAAGTTGAACAGCCTTGAGAGCTGCATTTCGCTAGCTTATACATGTCATGTCCATAGTGCACGGCTAGTTGGGGGTAAGTCGCTTGATAACATGAAAGGTAGGCGCAGGTCAGAGTGCCTAGGCTTGTCCCATTTCGCATGAAAGCCGCGTGGCAGCTCTCGCCAAGCCGCATCGGCAGACTTGGCCCACACGCCCCGCAGATTTGGGATCAATGTTGCGGCGAGATGCAGTCCAGTCCTGGCTGGCAGTTGGTTCGGGACAGTCCAAAGGGTGGAACGCCCATCACTTACAGCTCTGTCAACTCCTGTTTGGTGCTTGGATTCTCTTGAAAGATTTGTGTGTTTCCATGCGTACTAGTGCCATCGTCACTTCCTGTTCTTGTGTAGGGATGCCTTCTTCCGTGACCAAGGTCTTTGCATCAGCATCTCGCAGCACAATTCGTGGCAGACGCTGCAGGTGCAAGCGTACAGCATCGTCCAGCCCTGTCTCAGGCTCAGGAGCCACGAGGCTTCTCGTAGACGCAGATATACACAGCGTTGAGGAAATAGAGGATGTCATCAATCAGCTAGAGAAGACTTGCAAAGATGTCTACACAACCGTTTTTGCGGAGCCTCGTCGCACCGACCACAAGAAGTGGAACAATTTCTTCCAACGTCGCAGGGTCACATTCCACCCTGTTGAACGGAATTCAAGTCGAGTTGGGGAAGCTAACGATGCTGTGGTAGACAGAGCGATCCGGACCTGTGACGACCAAAGCTTGGCGCTCCTGACGTCCGACTACGATTATGTAGAGGCTGTCCAGGACGCGATGAATGCTGGCAAGAGAGTCTTGGTTTTTGTTCCATCAAAGCAGATGTCACTTATCATTCGCTATCAGCGTGCCCGGGTGGAGGTCCAGCAGCTGCAGCCCCACGTATCCGTGCTCCCGAGGGTACGTGCATTTTTGCATCAAGATGGAAGTGGGCATGTGCAATTGGATGACCCATACGATCCACACAGCCTGAAAAATGAAGATAGTGTGGATGCTTGCCAATCTTTTTTAGGTGACCTTGGCTTTCTGGCCACAGGGGAGAGGGAATTTCTGGTTCACTCTACGGCAAAGTTTTGGCTCACGAATGAGTTGGGCTCGATAGCGGTATTTCCTGCGACAATTGGCATGAACCAACTCTTGGAGCAGATGCGGCACAGTGGTAGTTTGAAATGGAGGAGGTATGGCAGTGATATGGCGTTCTTCTTGCCTAAAACTGCACGGATGAAGCTGACTAAGAAGCAGATGGGGACGTTTGGCACCGGCATTTCAAAGGAAGTGTTCTTGGGTGGTGGCCCGTTCATGCTCAACGACTCCTCGAATTTGGTACGCCAAGCTTTGCGAAGGCTCGGGTACCTGGACGATGACATGAACGCAGACCTGCAGGAGGCCATGCTTGTGTTCGTGAATGCCCCGAAAAACAAATGCAATCTGCGCAAGCGGCTGGATGCCATTCCCTCTGCAACAGACACAGCTGCGGAGGTGGAAAACAAGCTCCGATATGCGTTTCTCTCGCACTTGACAGATGGACAGTGGCATGTGGCCCCCAAAGATGTCCAGATTCGGGCGTGCCTTTGCAAGCTCGGTTTTTTGGCCGACATGAATTCAGCCCGTGGAGATGTTTTTCGCGCAATGGCCAAGTATGCTAGGCGACACCAGCTTCCGGAAATGAAAACCTACAACGGATATTTATTCCGTCTCAATTACTATATGGACTCCAGCCCGAAAAAGACTGGAGCCATCGAGCTCAGACAGATTTGCGGTTAATTAGATGAAATCGGTACTATTGATTTATTGACGTTTGTGTTTCAACAGAATTCCAGGGCAGCAACGGCGGGCCCGTTCATTCTGGACCTGATCGATGATGCATCGAAGTAGCTTCGTTAAGAAGGACGGATAGCATCACAATGTATCATTCACAGCAGCACAGAAACAGCTCCCGGATAAGGCAGCATGGAAGTCCGGCATTGTGGTTGCAGGCATGCATTTGCTCGATGGGGTTCGGCCAGAATGGCCAAACAAGGCTGAGTTGATGCACGCGCTTCGAATTTTTCACGTTCTACTGTAAGCCCATGGCCGGAGGAAGTGGCACCTGTTTCTCAAGAGTGGCACCGAGGTGATGAGTGCGAGGTTTCTACCGGCGGCGGAACGTGGGGCGAAGACTGCGTGCTCTGTGCAGACTTCAAGCGCAGTATTTCAGAAGACAAAGAGCTGCTGACATATCGCAGTGATATTTGCCTTCGGCTGTTCGCTAGGACTGTCAATCAGACTGAACGGAGGCACCGTGCAACACCAAACAACCAGCATCCGTAAACAGCCGACAACAGAAAAAGTGTACAAATTCCTCGTTCATTGTCTGACATGAGGGCTCTGGACGGTGCAGGCCAGTGACACGCAGTGAAAGTCATAATGACAATGCAGACCCGTTATAGAACCCCCTCTAGTAACTTTTACAGTAACCCGCATCTTACCCTGCAAAACAGACCGGCGATGCCTTGAATCCAAGCGCGCGCAGCTCAGCTAGAAGCCAAGAAAAATGTCAGCTTATGATAGCTTATGGTGACTGTTTGGGTTTAGGGTTCCTCGCTGTACAACTCGAGGTCTTTACCTTGGCTTTGCACGTGAGACCTGAAGGTCGAGAAGGCCTCGAACCTTCAATACCGAGCTTGCATCCAAAGCATAAGCTTTCCACACATTCACATAACGGAAAAAGTAAACCTCACGCTGCATGCCGCTTTGGCCCACTGTGCCATGTCAGGAAAACCGTGAACTTCTTAGACAGACATCCATGATTTCCAGGTTGGTCAAGGCACTTTGAAGTTGAAACTTTGCGCTTTCCCAGGAAGCTCTAGTCATCTGACTTTCTGAAGTATCAACTCCCTAAAGCCAGACATTGCCATGGTGTCGACCTGCTGAATTGCTGGCTGCGAGACAAGACGATTCCCAAGTTCAACACCTCGAGCCTTAACTTTCAAATGAACCGTAGGATTTAGGCTTTAGGCATATGTTTAGGGTTTTACATTAAAGGATTCGGTTCATCGCAGTGCGGCTAGGTCGAATCTGGCATCTACTGTAGGCGTCAAGAGCATTAGAGCCCGAGGCTAAACCCCAAATCCTAAACCCGAAACCCTAAACCCTACACCCTACACCCTACACCCTAAACCCTAAACCCTAAACCCTAAACTGTGCACCCGGATGCTCTAAGGAGAATTTCCGTTTCTACACCTGGGCCGGCAAGATGAGCCCATCGAGAGGATGGCTTTTCTTCTGCTTCTCGGCTCCGCAGAAAGCCTCTCCCACTTGGAGGATCATGGGACTTAGTAACTAGGGTTATAAGTAAGGTAACTATAATTATAACCCCAATTAGGGTACTTATAACCTTACTTACTAAGTCCCATGTTCCTCCAAGCAGCAAATACACCCTGAGAGGCCTCCGTCCTGAGCCCTGTTGACCCCAAAACTTCAGAGCAATGAAGCCCCAAACGTCGCGTGACCATGCGCTGCTGCTGCTGCTGCTGCTGCTCGTCCTGCTCCTTCCTGCCACCTCAAATGCCACATCCAGCAGCAGTGGTAGCAGTAACAGTAGCAGTCACAGTGGCCGTAGCCGTAGCGCTGTAGCAGTAGCAGTAGCAGCCGTTGAGGTGTTGGTGCTGGCAATGGTTCAAATGGTGGTAGGAGTGCGACTGGAACCAGCAGAAACAGCAGCAGTAAGGCTCATTGGTGCTGTCAGTAGGATTTTGCAGTGATAGTAGGAAGTAGTGATAGCAGTGGTAGGCACGTTCTCGTTGCTGTTCTGTTTTGTATTGTTCTTGCTATTCCGAGGCTTGGTGGCGCGGGTGAGCGCCATTTGCTCTGAGCCGCAAGAGCCGCAAGATGCGGGACAGGCTTGTTCCGAGCATGCGGGCGGTGTTCAGTTACTTCGGGCTGTGGGGGTCCGGGATGGTTTCAGGGCGTGGGAGTCTGACGGTTGTTGCAGGGGGTGCAGGTTCGGGGTTCATTTGTTGACCTGATTAGCTTTCTAAACATTGTCGTTGATTACGGATGTCTTGGGGACTTGGGAGGCTTCGCGCCTGTGTCCTGCAGCAGTTTTTCCAGACTTTTTGAAAGGATAGAACACATTCAGACACATCTGCTTTCAGTTTTCGGGGTGGAGGGTTGATGATCCCTGCGGGATTTCCTTTTGGAGGCCACCGGCAGGGTTGATTCGAGTGTTCAAGAAGACAATGACGGCTCCTGCAGCCTTACATGGGAGGCGTTTCTCAGGTCAGTTGCAGGGATTCCAGATTCCAGTCGCTGGTTCGGGTACTTGGGGGGCACAGGTTCGAGGACTTTGGGCTTTAGGGGAGCTGTTCTTCCCATTTTTTGAGGTCAGTTCCAGGGCTGTGTAGCTTCTTTGATTTTCGATTCAACTTTGCCCGTCGGTGCAATGGTTCGGAATAGAACCCAGAACGCAGAAGTGATAGCAACACCAACAGTAGCACGGGCGGTGCTCGACCCCGCATGCTCCCAACACAAGAGTTGAGTAGTGATCTTTTTGAAGCTGCATCACAACAGCAGCAGAAGTAGTAACCCTAGGAGGCTGGACGAGATGCAGCAGAGCCACAGCATCAACCACGGACAGGACAGACAAAAGGCAAATAACAAGGAGAGACCAGGCGCAAGGTAAATCCCACAAAGCAGGTCCCTCGCCCATCACCTCCGCCTGTAAGGCATTCCAACCAATTCTACACATGCGGACGGAAACGAGGTCTCCAACATAAAACCCAATTTTAAACTCTCAACCCTAAACCCTAAACCCTAAACCCTAAACCCTAGTAGATCTTAGATGAGCCCAAGAGTCTGGCAGGTCAGGATCAAGGGCGCTGATTGCCCGGCGATCTATGCGCCGGTACCGAAGAAGGGGGAGGACTGGCCGTCAAGACTAAGCATCAGAAAGGAAATAGGAGCATAGCCTCGCTAAGAAGCAATAGCCTATCACTACAGTATTAATAGTCTTAACCTCAACTGCAAAGATATTGTAGACCACATAAATAGTAAACACATGAAGAGCAGCTCCCACCAGCGTCACCATCGCCGGCGAAACGACAACCCAGGCCACGGAACTGTAAGAGGACACAGGGGAATGTCGGGTTTAGGAGCGTGCAGGTTTAGGGTCTCGGGTTTAGGGCTTCGGGGGTTTAGGGTTTTAGCGGCCATCCGAAGTCCCGAACCCTTCACTGTCCCATACTTGACTGGAAGCCGAAGCTGTTTCGGGAGATGTTCGTACTTGCTGCTGAAGCTGCAATGCCCGCATTTACACGGCTGCCTAGGCCGCAGTGGGCTTCTTTGTGTAGGTGTTTCCGGTAGCGATTCAGGGCTCCCCTAAGCTTATCCTTAGCCCCGAGGTCTGGGCCGAGGATGATGATGACGCTGGCGACGATGTTGATTAAGATGATGATACTAATGACTAGAGTGATGGTGGTGGTGGCGGTGTCTGAAATCACTGTTGTGTTGTTATCGTTCGATGTGACCTGATATTGCTGCGACGAGTCCTGCTCGGCTGTTGACAACCGGCAGCCGGTTCTTTTTGCGGTACTTATGTGATTATGATGTGTTGGTATGAGTGGATAATGCCGTCTGTTGCACGTTTCTCTTATTGCTGTGATTCTCACCACTCCTCACCACTATTTTGCTTATTCGCTTCTCCGCTTTCTTCGTGTTCTTGCCTGTTGCTGTCATGATTGCCGTATGTACTGCTGCCCTGATCATCTTTCACAACTGCAAACCTTAAACCCCCAAATCCCTAAACCCTAAACCCTAAACCCTAAAGCCTAAAGGCCCGAAACCCTCAGCCCTCATTCACCCCTTGGCCTGGCCTGCAGCCCTCCTCAGGAGGACTGTCTGCGTGGACGCAATCCCGGCTCGATGATGAGCGGCCGTGTCATGCTTGCAGCTGGGGGGTTTCAGGGTTTGGGCTTTAGGGTTTAGGGTTCAGGGTTTATAGGGGTTTAGAGTATAGTGTTTAGCATGTTGGGTTTAGGGTCCAGAGCCTCGGGCCTCCATGGGAGTTTCAGAATATCAGGAGTCCCGCATGCAGGCCGCATGCCACCCGGACTCTCGAGTCTTTCTTCGGTTCGGTTGAGGCACCGTGGAGGACCCATGGGAGCAAGTTGAGGAACCCTAAACCCTAAACCCTAAACGATTGAGAGTTCAGGTTTGATTGTTTGCCAAGGTCCATAAGCCCCGAAGCTCCTTAACCCGGAGAAGCTTTTGACCTGGAACTCCATGTGCAGAAGGCATGCCACCCTTTCAGCCACACACCAAGGCGCCAGACATCCCCGAGTGTCTTCGATCCCAAAACACTGGGATTCCTGAAATCTCCTAAGGTTTACTGTAGGGTTTAGGGCAGCATCACCAGCACTCAAGGGCCCCTTGCAACCCTTTTCAAAATATCACGAACCCATATACACCCCAAGAGTTTCGGAACATACGGAACCCCTCCTCTGGATCCCGCATGGTCGTAGCCTGAATATAATTGTCCCGCCCTTCCAAAAAGCAAGAAAGCAGCTATGTTTGATTCCCCAAAGGCCCCGACACCCGAGACCTTAAACCCAAAACCCTCGTTTCTCAAGGGCCCCGAACGCCCTGAAGATTTGCTTCTCTGAGGCTTCGAGCAGATTACGGTCCGAGCGGTGTCTTACGTCCCTCGACCCATTGGCGTCGCCTCCGGCACAAAGGACACCACCCAGGGGGACGGGGTTTAGGGTTTAGGCTCCGGGGCACGGGGG